CTGTATTCATTAAAACAAAGGAAGCCTTCTCCCCTCAGAGAACTATTTAACATCTTCATGTCGTTTGGCTACAAAATCCAAACATTACTGAAAGATGACAGCTACCGGAGGGGAAGCTGGCTGAGAAGACATGGCCCCTTTGGTGAGAGAGCGCACAGACTCTGGCCTGAAAGGAAGAACCTAAAATAACCCAGGCACACACTTTCCAATTGGTTTGACCCGTCTCACTAACTTCAAGGCCTGCCTGGGCCACCAGTGGTCTAATAGACTCGTCGTATATAGGAAGATGGAGGAATCGCCTTGCTGGATCTCACAAGAGTACAGTGTTCAATCCTTGAGTCAGCTCTGGCCTGGAACCACACATGATCACACATGAACACACATGATCCAACAGAGGCAACACAAAGTCCTGGAAGGGAGTTCAACAGAGTAAACGAAACATCTCACCTGAGATCATCAGTTCCATGTTTCTGGGTCCAGGACTCCACGGGTTTCTCAATTTCTCGCTCCTTACTCTATGTGATTGTATGCCATAGTCCCTTGGGCTAAGAATGCCTCTCCCCAACACAAACAACTGCCTTTAAGTTCCCAGGGTTCTCGAGGGACCACTACACATGTATAAAGCTTTGCTGCAAAGACAGAATGATGTATTGTTGTCTCAGAACAGTTCAACTTTCACTTTGAAGTTTTAAAAATGCACGGTGATATATGTCTTATATGTCACAATGACTAGCTTGCATCCAAGTTAACTCCTATAGCTAGATGTGGGAAACAGGCCTGTGTCCATGGAAAGTATCATAGGCTACGCAAACCAGCCACAGAATGGAGGAAGTGTGTTTTGAAGTTTCTTGGAAAAGTACTATTTCATTTCATTCCCCCGTGAGGCTCTGAGGTGGTTCCATTTTTCCACAATTGACATATGCAGAAACTAAAACCCAATGGCTTGTCCAATGTCATAGTAGTAAGTGCTGGTCAGGCTTCAACCCTGGGGCCTTGACACGGAGGAATTAAATGCAGCTCAGGGGATGCATGGTACTGAACTCTTGTTCTTTGCATTTTTGAAGCTCCCCTAGGTAAACAAAAAGAGACAGCGCTCAAAGTATGATGGACACAGTATGGTGATTGCCTCAGAGTTGGTAAGAGGAGGTCCTCGGTCCAGATCTGAGCGGAGAAGATCTGAGCGGAGAAGGCCACCACGTGTGGACATTTATTTATAACTGTGGAATGCGAGGGGTGGGTACCCTGTCAGCTTTATTTGACATTGATTGATAGACGTTAGGAGTCAGCATTCCAGACACCTCTGGAAAGATTCCCTGCAGCTTGTATTCCACCTGGGGACCAATTACAACCTTGACCTCTACCCTAATGCAAAGTGTAAAATGTAGATTGCCTAGGACTAGACCAGCATAACCATCAAGCTGCTTCTTGTCTATTCCAAACACAGGGTTTTTTTTTTTTTTAAATAATTATTCTTTTAATGTTTTTCTAAATTATGTTTTTTAAAGTTAGCATAGAAAGTAATATGTTTCATTATGACCTTTAAAAAAAACTCACATTTTGTTCTTATTCACACCCATCTCATCCCTGTCACTCCCTACCCCCTGCCTTCCTTTTCCTGGTCCTCCTTCTGTCCCCAGAGCCTCCCTTCCCTCTCAAGTCACTGCATCCCATCACCCTCCCCTCTGCATCCCGTACCATTAAGATGTCCTTCCTCCATCATGGTCCCCTTTGAAGTTTAGTCACACACACACTCACGCACACACACACACACACACACACACACACACACACACACACACACACTCCAGTCTCCACACACATGAGCAAACAGGCAGTCTTTCTGAACCTGGTTCACGTCACTAAACACAATGCTCTGCGATCTCTAACCCAGGTTTCTGTGACAAACGCGACTCCCAGCAATTTCACATACACCAGTTCACACCTGCCGCATGGTCCCTTTAAGACATACTCAACACCATGCCTTTGTGGATTATGAGAAGTTTATTGATAAAGGAAACACACGAGCCCCCCCCCTTTAAAAACAACCACCTTAAATACATAGGGACACTTCATCTCTTCATTTGATCAAGGCCAGGCAGCACCGAGACACAGACCCACAGTTCTGAAAGGGACAGTACTCGTTTAGTATAAGAAAACTAGAAGATGTGGATTCATTTCAGTGGCTTGACCGCCGAGGCTTTGGCCGTCAGACACACAGAACTGTACTGTTAAAGCACATCGCAGGTTTTCAAACTAGGGTAAAAATCCAGTGGCATATTTATACAAATGTGACCACGCAGCAATAATTCAGAGACAGTCACCAGGACATAGGACACAGGTCATGTTTGTAAACGATGGACGGCTTTCTAAGCCATTTCTGATGGTCGCTGTTCAGTAACTGCTCCTCAGCGGCCCACAATGCCCCCCCCACCCCAGAGAGCTTTTATCCAGTCTCTACTACAATCTCATAAATATATCATATACTGCACACAGAGGGATGAAAAAGAATGTCAGGAGATCACGTTGGACACGGATAGAAAACACACGTAGAATGGAATTTCACTGTGGGGACATTCTGAGAGGCACTCAGAAGAGGACAGCGAAGCCTTCAATCCAAAGGAGACACGTGGGGCCTGCTACTTCACTACAGTTTTCAGGGCGTGGGAGTAGCTATGGTTTAGGCATGGCTCCAAGGTGCTGCCTACACCAATTGGATGGAGCTTGGGAGCCACAGACGGCGGTCACGCGAAGGTGCAGACCTGTTGAGTGGGCTCGGTGACAGTCTGTACACTTGGGCTGCCGTATCCCTGTTCCAAGTACTGCCAAGTCCTGGCCATGTCTCATCTTTGCAAAATCTTGATTCATTTCATCCTCCTGAAGTTGGCTTTGTGGAGGGGAGCTGTGCAAACCTTGCTGTTTCAGGGTTTGGAAGGTACAGACACCACCCTGGCTCCTCGACAGATTGGAAGCGTAACATTTTGCTAAGTGAGAAGCTGCGTGCCGGCTCCTTCTCTGTTGCCTTACTGCGGCTTCAATATTTGCAAAACATAATGTCAAAATACTTCAGATCCAACCCGAAGCCATTTGTTATTCATGCAACACGATTCTTACACATGCCACCACACAGAGAGTTTTAGCAAAGGGATTCTTTCATTTGGTTTTGCTCCCTCTACGCACTTAACAACTTTTCCTCCCTCCTTTGGGGAGTTAAGAAGAATATTATTATATAATAGCAAAATCCCCCGTTCTATGCAGACAAGATATTATAAGCTTAAACCGTGCCTACCCTTGATTGTGTTAGGGAACAAGAAAGGCTAACCTGCAGGCTAAAATTATTCTAACCTTTAAAATGCTCCGTGAGTCGTTTGTAAAGCCTAGAGCAACCTAACTGTGTAGGGATATTAACTTTTTTCCCAGTTGACTTTGCTGGTCAGCGCTATGGGCCTCTAACGGTACCCAGTGCACAGCAATTGGCATGAAAACCTCACTTTGAAAGGACAGCCTGTGACATGCGGGATTCCCAATCATTTCGCTGTTTCTATAGAAAACCATCACCAGTCCATGTGAACTCGGTGGTTCTTTAAGTGTGTGCAGATGAAACTGTGTGTGTGTGGGGGGGCAGAGGTCAGCCACCCACTTTGGTTTACGTTTTGTTTCTGTTTCTTGAGACAAACTCTTTCACCAGGGACCCAGAATTGAATCATTAAATTAAAGCTGACTGGTCCAGGAGTCCCAGTGACCTGCCTGTCTCTGCCTCCTCAGTGCCAGGATTATAGGTATATGTCACTATGCCTGGCCTTTTTTTCTGGGTTCTAAGAGTCAAGTCCTTACTGGGGCTAACTTGGCTACCTGAGCTATTTCCCCAGCCTAGAGTTGGTTATTCCTAACAAGTATCGGAGGTTTCTCAGGTCAGCATCTGGAGGCCTAGTGTTGTTCCCATGCAAAGCTGAGCCAGACCTCTGGAGGAATTTGATCCACTATTCTCTCTGAGGAGGCTTCCTGAGCTGAGCCAGCGGGTGAGAAGGGCAGACTTGAAGTCCGAACGTAAGGAGCTTCACCGGGAAAGTGTCTGCACAAGGCAATGTGGAGAGCAAACTTGGCTGAACTGTGGCCTGGAACCTTCTGCTTTTAAAAAACACAGATTAGCAGAGATGTTCATGGTGGTGTGTTACACAGTGTGGATTTCCTAGGCGAGCACCTTCCTCGATGCCCAGATGCTCTTCTGAGTTCGATAGTAACAGTAACACAGCAAAGGCCATCCTAATGAAGGACCAGTCTTAAGTCTAAACTGATAACAAAACTAAATCAGCCCTCTAAACGTAGACATATTGCCCAAATAATGACATTGAGACATTTGTCTCTAGGTCAACTGTAAAAGTCATCATTAACAGGATTTATAGAAAGTCCAAGTTCATGGAAGGACTCAAGTGGTACCCAATCACCATCAAAGGTACTCTGTTGTCAAGGAAGATACTTTCCAACACTATTGTGCTTAATAGCACAAGTGTTCCCTCTGGCAGATGCTCTTTTTTTGTTTGTTTGTTTTGTTTTGTTTTTCTCTAAGAGAGTTTTAAACCCAAGTATTAGTGTTCCACAAATTCTTTTTTTTTTTTTTTTTTTTTTTTTTTTTGCAGTGGTTGGTTTCCAGGAAAGTGGATCTTCAGACATCTTCCCTTGTGGCTATAATTTTTCTTAACACCAACAGCATTGCCTAAGTACAGCCAGAGCTCATTAAACAGACTTCTGAGCATAATTATAATGAACAATTAGCCGGGAATTAGTCTTAATGATTTGTTTTAGATGATAGACTAGAGGCACAATATAATTATTTTTAAACTTTCTGCACCGTTAAGAATGTAACGCCACCACCTTTCAACTGAGTGAAGTGGACAATCATGCAGCTGCAGCCATTCGCGGAGGGAGGCTGCAGCCTCCTCATGGAGCCCAGTTAAGGCGGCCAGAGGGCTGCACCCCAACCCAGGCTTTTATAATTACCCAGCCTTCTTGGTCTACAAAAAACTAAAAGCAAAACAAACAAACAAAAAACCCAGCTATTTTATCCTTAAAGTCATCTGTACTGTGAAAACTGAAGGCATTCAGCAGAGATTCGTCTTTTGACACCACATGGGTAGTGACAGGTGGTAGAAGGGTCTAGAGTGTAGGAAGCAGCCTTAGATGCCAGTTCTCACGATCACACTGGACCCACAGGAAAGGAGCTCGTGTAGGTAACAGATAAAATAGTGTTAGGAAGGAGCACCAGATCAGGTCGTTCATTACTTGTTTGTTATTCCTTTTCCTTTCGGTGTTTAGCAAACCAATTTGAAACTTGTTTCTCATTTTAAAAAAACTTTAAAAAAAATAAGTTGTTTTTTAAATTATGCACACGTGTGTATGTGTGGGTACCCAATGCTCCTGAACCTGGAAATGCAGGTAGCTGTGATCCCCCCCCAGCTCGGGTCCTGAAACATCTTTAACTCGGTTCTCTGCGAGAGGACTTGTGTTCTGTCTCTCCACCCCTGTCCTCACAAGAATTTTTTTTTTCAAATGTACAATAGAGATCTAAAAACGGTTCTTTTGTTTTCTGAAAACTCTAAAAATATTCACTTAGAGAATGAATAAGGATTTGTTGTCAAAAGTTTGCCTTTAAAAAACTGTGGTTTCCACTTTGGCTCATCAGGGTTCTGTTCCCCTGAGCCGAGCTGTTAGGCCTTTTGTTGTTGGCCATCAGAAGCCATCAGGGAGCGTAGCCCGACACCCACATAAAAGACCTGGTACCTGTGTTTCCACATCACAAAGCAAGCCAGCAAGCACACAAGGCCACAGAGCGGGTTCAGAACCATCTGGATGATTAAGAATAATTTGAAAGTGCCCGTGATGCTGGTGCAGTCAGCCACATCCCTGTAGACAAAGGTCCTGCTGAGAGGCTCTGAGGAAGGCAGTTTGCATAGGCAAGCATCCAGGGAGGTCTCACAGGTAAACTGTGCAAGCAGGGAACAGTGGTGGGCGGCAAATGCCATGGCCAGCATGCAGACCACCAGGCCCAGGGCACTCAGGAGGAAGTACACCACCTGTAAGAGAGGAGAAACGTTTTCCGTTACAGAGAGCGGCAACTCAGACGCTTTCCGTTGCGGAGAACAGCGACGAACGACAGCGAACACTGTCTTACTGAGTCTCTGAGGCAAGGGCCACTCTCTTCTCAAAACATAATGCCAAGACATGGATACACCTCATGCTCATCAGTTGGACGACTGACCGATCTTTGCAACATGGCCTCACGAACTCCAGGCTGACCCTGAACTTGCTCTGTAGCTGCTGAAGACGGGCTTGCTTTCCCAATCCTCCTGCCTCCACTGCCCAAGTGCTAGTATCACAGGTCTTAAGACGTTTGTCGTGCAGCCATTGGCTTTTCCTATGACCTGCAACGACCTGTTAGCCTGACTGGAATGTTCACGTCTAGATTTATCAGGTAATGTAAATGAATCCCAAACAAGCCCTCTCTCTCAGATGACACACGACATTTATTTTTTAACGAGAAAAGCGGGTCATTGAATAGAAAGCGAGATTTTGGAAGTAAAGGACAGGTTTCTATAAATGTGAATAGCGTGTTGGTGCAGATCATTACAAATTGATTAACGAACGATAAAAATTGGTGGAAAACAGATTGAACTTGATGAGGCAGCTATCACACTACAGCCATGATGGCCAAGGCCCCTACACAAAAGACCTCTGGGTGGAGAAGTGAATGACAGCTACAGAAGGCAGGTGACTCTGCCTGCCTGTTAGCTCTGGGGTTGGGGGTGCTGGTTAAGAGACTCTGCTGGGAAGGAATTGGACTCTGCAAGGCGTCTCTGATTTAGTTTACTTACATCTGGACCACTGTGACTGAAAGCTCGTGGGTTCTCACTGACACAGCCACAGTAGAATTCACAGCACAGCACAAGAGATGCTTTTGTGACTGGTTTCACACACGATCCAGCTCTCTTAGCGGTCCACCTGTATGGGGCCCAGATAAAGGCCAGACGTTGGGACTGGTGTCTACAGTTTGTAGGGTAGGGTTTATAGACAAAAGCTACCCCTTACTGGGAGCAGTTCTGGTGTGTGGTTGAGGGCAGCCTTGAACTCCAGATCCTCCTGCCTCCTCCCCTCAAGTACTGGGATTTCAGGCAGGTACCACTGTACCTGGCTAAAACATCTTGCATCTTAGAAACATAACAGGAATAATTTGTATTTGACATGTCTAGTGTTCCTTGGAGGAAAAGAATCAGATAAATGCAGAGTGGCATCATTATAAAATTTAGAAAGGATTTATTTGATCTGTGATATTAAAAGGAGTGCTTTGGTCCCGTCCCCAGAACATTCAGTGACAGTATTTTATGTAGACTTGGAGTGCTTAGACTTTAAAATATGGGTTTATTGTGTACGGCTAATGGCATAGAATACTGAAAATATTGTGGATTATTCTGAAATATTTGGACTTGATGACTGAATTTAAATTCCTGGCATGCAAGCCAGTTTATGTTGGCCCCATGTGATTGCTAGCAGGAGGGACCCAAGTTAAAATGGTCATTTCCCTCTGGGTAGCCATCCGCTTAGTAGAGCATCCCCAAATTGAATTTATGCCACCCCATTTTTAGTTTGGGCCACCAGCAGACAGACCCACAGCTGCTCCTCTGTCTATTGCGTACCCCGCTATGTGCACACATTCACAATCACTCTCAGATGCACACACATCCTTCAACACTGGCTATTCACAACACTGGGGGAGTCCATGCGTTGACAATAAGAAGTCTGTCTGTTTTAAAGAAAACAGGGCTGGCGGGTAAAGGTCCTTGCCACCAAGTCTGATGACCTGAGTTCAATTCCTGGAACCCACATGGTGGAGGGGAAGAGCCAACATCCTGCAAGATGCACCCCAACCTGTACACACACATCATAGTACACACACACACACATCATAGTACACATACGTCATAGCACACACATGTCATTGTATACACACATCATAGCACACACACAGAAAAGAAATAAATAAAATATAAACATTTTTAAGTGATACATTTTAGCTCAAATATTTATTTGCCAAAGACCATTTAACATGCACGGAACAGTGAAGGGCATGAACCAGCAGGCCAGGCCACCTAATTAAGGCTTCACTCCTGAATGCTACCCGGGGGCTCAACTGTTGGACATCTTAACCAGTATCACTTTACCTGCAAATTTGGAATGCTGTATCTAACCTGAGTTCATATTATCACGAAGAGGATCAAGAGCCGGCATCTGGGAAGGGCACAGGACTTAAACCAGCAGAGAGGGGATGCTGCCATTTCCAGAAATCCCCAGGACCAGCTCTACCATCTTCCTGTTTTCTGTCACATGGGAGGAATAACGCGGACTTGGCTTGGAGAAGGTATAAACTGACCCAAACACAGAGGGTGCTTCATTATAATCTAACTTCTTAAATATGCGGAACCCAGCAGCTCCAGGACAGGGGAAGGGAAGCCACACCCCTTAGCAAAGTGACTGGGGCACACAGGAGTCAGGAGAGCGAGCCACTTGCCTCTTAAGTCACAGGCAGACACTCAGGCCTGCTGGTGACATCTGAAACACACTTCCTTTCTGACAGCAACAGGCTTAAAACCCACAATGTAAAACCAGGTGCCTTGTTTTGCCCACATGGCAGGAATAAACTATCAATGAAGGCAGGTGTGTGGAAGTGACCTTGGGATGACAGCAGCCTGTGTGGGTGTCCCTGCAGAACACCCCTGGAGGCCAGCTCTGTGCTTATGTAATCCCCAGGCTGGCTCCTGCCCTGCTGTAATTGGAGCCTGCTGAGGCTTTCCCAGTTGGAGGCTCTGGGAGGGCGTGTCTGTTTAAACTTAATGATCTCCCCTTGGCCTGAATGGTAAGGCTTCTCTCTCTGCTGCTGGTGCAGTGACTGCTACCAAGCAGCCCAAGGAACTGCCAGCAAGCTGTCTGCCAGCAGGTGACCTCCAGGGCTTCAGCAAAGGCAGGAGAGGGCAGGTAGGAGGGTCCACACTCAGTGAGCTGCCAGGTTCCCAGGCAGAGTCCTGGGGAAAGCAGGGGAGCGCTGGTGGTCTAAGGGGAGAAATGTGAGTGTGAGGGTGTGTGAGGGTGTGTGAGGGTGTGAGTGAGTGTGTGTGAGTGTGTGAGTGTGGGTGAGTTGTGTAAGTGAGTGTGTGTATGTGTGTGAGTGAGTGTGTGTGAGTGTGTATGTGTGTGAGTGTGTATGTGTGTGTGAGTGTGTGTGTGAGTGGGTGTGTGGGTGTGTGTGTATGTGTGGGTGAGTGTGTGTGAGTGAGTGAGTGTGAATGTGTGAGTGTGTGTGAGTGAGTGTGTGTGAGTGTGAATGTGTGAGTGTGTATGTGTGTGAGTATGTGAGTGTGGGTGAGTGTGTAAGTGAGTGTGTATGTGTGTGAGTGTGTGAGTGTATGAGTATGTGTGTATGTGTGTGAGTGTGTATGTGTGTGTGAGTGTGTGTGAGTGAGTGTGTGTGTATGTGTGGGTGAGTGTGTGTGTAAGTGAGTGTGTATGTGTGTGAGTGAGTGTGTATGAGTATGTGTGTATGTGTGTGTATGTGTGAGTGTGTGTGTGAGTGTGTATGTGTGTGAGTGTGAGTGTGTGGGTGAGTGTGTGTGTATGTGTGGGTGAGTGTGTGTGAGTGAGTGTGAATGTGTGAGTGTGTGTGAGTGTGTGTGTATTTGAGTGTGTGAGTATGAGTGTGTGTATGTGTGTGTAAGTGTGTGTGTTAGTGTGTGTATGTGTGTATTTGAGTGTGAGTATGATTGTGTATATACTGAGATATTCGCCCCTCCCACACATATCCCACTGACCACACCCATTAGGGGTGGGACAGGTGACCTGGGGGAACCAGATCTGGGGTCAGGAACCCCAGCACTCTCTTGCTCCCTGGACAGGGACATAGAGCATCTGGAGGCATCCTTGGAATTGGAACCTGCTGGTGCTCATCTGTCTCTGTTGTAAGTTACTTCTCTCTAAATAAACATCTATTCAGCCTATTTGTTTTCCCTGATCCTAATTTTTCCACGTTATGTGTATGTTTGTGTGTGTGTGTGTGTGTGTGTGTGTGTGTGTGTTCGTACAGGAAGACTCCATCACCACAGCGTGGTGGCCTGTCCTGTCTATCTAGGTGCCTAGAAGCTTGCCCAGGGCTGGAGGGCTAAAATGCAGCCATGGAGTGACAAGCCCCTCCTGGAGGTTCATCCCCGCCCCCAAAGGCCTTGGGAAGCACAGGGCATGGGCTGTGCCCTGCTGGGCTCTGCATGGAACAGGTTAGGACTGAAGATGACACAGAGAGCTGCTGCTGGCAGCAGCCCCTTGGGAGGAGGAGGGGCGTCTGTGTCACGGTGAAGGAAAGAAAAGGCTCATGTGATCTTCCCAGTGCGGTCTGCAGTCCACGCTGACACCCGCTTTTCCCCTTCTTCTCCTTCCCCGGTGCAGATGCCTGGTGGGGACTCGCTGAAATGAGGTCTCACCTCCCTCCCTTCAGGAATCGTGAGGGGAGTGGGGAAGTCGGGTGCTTTCCTTGACTGGATAAAACCCACTCTGGAATGCTGCTACCTGCTGCATGAATCTCCCGAAACTTGGCAAGCTATTTCTTACTCGCTTTTTGCTTTTTTTTTTTTTTTTTTTTCTTTTCTCTTTTTCTTTCCCTCTCCTCATCACCATGCCTTGTTATTTGATCAAGCTCACCAAAACAACAACAACAACAAAACCCCTGTCATATCAAAACAAGTTAATTCCAGGGCTGGAGAAATGGTCCTGGATGAAGGTTCGGTTCCCAGCACCCACATGCTGGCTCACAACTGTCCTTCAAACTGTGAGCACTTTGCTTTCCATGCCACCGTTTTTAGTATGACATTTTCCCCTCCTCCTCATTCTTGAGACAGGATTCCATGTAGGTTGGCTTGTCTCCAACTCAGTATATGGCTGAGGCTGGCCTTGAACTTTTGAACTTCTGCTCCCCGTTTCTACTTGGTGAGAGGGCAGATTATAGTCAGATGCCACCGTGCTCCGTATTTTTGGTCTAGGGCTCTGTCCACACTAGGCAAGCACTGTTCCCACCCTGCTACATCCCCACATTATATAAACATCCTTTTCTCTTTTTAATCTTTGTGGTTTTTGAATGACATTGTTGACTTACTCTTAAGCTTCATGTTTCCTGATTGTAGCAAAGAACTTGCCTAGAAGAAAAGTCGACTACAGATCACAAGAGAAGCAAACAGAACATTCTCCATCCTTGCCTGTGACACTGGGCGAAAGCACCCAGCCAGACTGCTCAGTTTGTTTTATGCTTCTCACTTCTGAGGGAAGTGTTCGCGTCTCTATTTAAGTGATTAGTATAATCTGGAGATCATATTTATGCAGTGAGGTGCTGTGCACTTAAATAGACAGCAACCAAATGCCCCGTCCACAACAGACAAAAAGTACGAGGGAAAATACACTCAGATTGTTTTATTGTTGAAATATCCCAAGTGATCACAAAATATGGAAGTGGTTCCCCAGAGACGCCCTTCCCCTGGCCAAGTGTTTCCTTAAACTGGTGGCCATTCAGTACTCCTTTTGGGGACATTAAAGGTCCTGCTACATGTGCTCTAGGAATAACCTAACTCATGGAAATTAATTAAAAAGACTACCATTACCACTGTGTCTGGACTGACAACCTCCTAAAGCATGTGTGGACTGCCTAAAAGCGAAGTTTCTGGACCCGTAATACATGTAACACTCGAAAGGCATTCTGTCTTGTGTTCACATTTGTTCCTATGCAATAATCCTGAAACACAGACAAACAACTTACCTTCATAGAAAACTGGACACACGTCTTCTCATCAACCTGGTAGGAGACACAAAGCATGAACAGTCCAAGGTAGGCCACCACGCAGACCTGCCGCGGGGAACACATAGGAAGAACATTAGTGGGACATACATGTCAGGACCCCAGCCACACCAGGCTCTGTGTCCTTCCTTCCCTGGTATCACCTATTTCAGTTCATTCTATTTATGTGGTACGGGTTTTTCTCAACTTGTGAAACACAATTTTCAAGATGTGCTTTCTCTATTTGTAATCAAGTATGTGTTTGTGCTTCCGTGTGTGGGTATATGCACATGAATGCAGTGCCCTCAGAGGCCGGAAGAGGGAGTCAGGTCCCTTGAAGCTGGCACTGTAGACAGTTGCACTGTAGACAGTTGAAAGCCATCCGACATGGGTGTTGGGAACTGGTGGGTCCTCTACAGGAACAGTCTGCACTTTTAACCATGGAACCATCTATCCAGCCCAGTGGAACGTGGTTTGAAAATAGCAAAGGCATTATTTCAATTTAGCTGCTACTTACTAAGTTCCTCTGTGTTCCAGGTACTACAGAAGAAGATCATTTAGAGCATATGCAATAACAGATAAGATTTAATCTATTTGATTAGTGTATGTCCAGTAGAGTCCAAAACAAATTCACACACTAAGGCAGGATATTTTCTGCTACATGCCATTCAGATAATTATAAAAGGTTAAAGAAATTAAATCTAATCAGAAAATATAGAAGGCTTTGCTTAAGATTTGGGCGTTATAATATTGACAGCCGCTAGCTGCGCCTGGAGCTCATCTGAGGGCTTTCTGTGTCTTTCTTCATGTGATCATCACAGACCCCTATGAAGTGGGTGCTGGGAAGTTGGAAGGGAAGCCAGGGACCACCCAGCAAGCCTGGGGCAAACGGCAGGCAGCCAGGCTGAAAGCAGATACAGGGAGCACAGTCTAGCAATGGGACCTTGCAGAGAAGACAGATCTATAGCAGAACTGTAACAAAATGTAGCTTAGAAAAGGCAGGGTGACCTTACAGCACATAGGGGTGATGAGGAGGCGCCTTGGCTCTCAAGCAGGGTAGTGACATGACTTCAGATAGACATGGTAAGGATCCTGAGTAGTTGCTATTGCAGCAATCTGAACAAGATCAGCCACTGGGAAGCTGAATGCGGTGGCCCTGTCATCTCAGAACCCCCGGGAGCTTGGACTACTGTAAGCTCCAAGTGACATTTCTACTGAGGCGCATCACTGGGCTCACGAGTATGCTGGTCTGAAGAGATGTGAACGGAAAACAAAGAGAGACTGGGGGGCGGGGTGGGGTGGCTCTGCAGCACAGGACAGACAGGTGCCAGGCAGGGCAAACAAAGGCTCTGCAGCTCACGTTTCTAAGTCACGGAGCAAGTCCTTTCTGAAAGCACTTGTAAAATTATTCCATCAGCGTGTGTTAGTAATAACCAGCAGACCTCATCATGGCATTTTCATATACACACATCTCAATCACATACGCCCACTGCCCTCGCAGCCCCCTCCCATTCCAAAGACCCCCCCCACCCCATGCATGTTCACGTCTGTAAATGCATGTTTAAACATCCCAACGGGGCACAGTTTGACAAGGCCGTAGTTCACTAGCTATCCTCACACAGAGGACCTGCAGAACTGAAGCAAAGGAACAAGGATCTTGGTTTTGGTTTTGGTTTTCGTCAGCAGCACGTCAGACAGAATGCTCTAACCTCACTCCAGTCACATCCTGAAGCTCATGCCTGGGCTTTCTCCTCCTGATAGCAGGATCAAGATTTCTACCACATAAGTGTCTTAGTCCCGGGAGGCTGCCGGGCTGACATCGCAGTTGCCAAGCTCTCTCCCTCCTTCTCATTATGAGACGCGTACATTCTAATGATGGAGACCGACTGACTGGCCAGCATCTTAAAAACAATCACAGTCTCCCCACAGCCAAAAAGCCCGCTTCATTAGCAGCTACTCTTGTATGACCTTCACTAGGCCTGACCCCCCAGCAAGACGCTGCATGGCATAGAATGCCCAACCACATTCAACAGCCAACGCCATGGCTCGCACAGTCTGCACTGTTCTGACTCTGAGAACTGAGAGACGAGAACCACAGTCTCACTCTGAGACGGACGTGAACAGCATGAAAGCCACAGGAATGTACAGGTGGTGTCAGTGACTTAATGGAGGCTTGGGAAGCAGTTAAAATTACAGGAAATACTGACCCAATCAGAGAGTCTGGGGAAAATGGAAAATGTCCAAGTTACCCACTTTGGACCAAAAGCATCTCAAGTATACTTCTCTGAACTTTGGTACCCTGGGTCATGTTGTTACGGGGTCTGAGCTAGCTCAACATATGTCAATTAGTTAGCCTGTGTAAGCTGAGGGTGTGGTCTTCTCGCCCACAGATTTGCATGAACTAACAATGTCTTTTGCTGTTTATTGGTGGTGTGCACAAGAATGTTGCAGAAAAATCATATTTATTGAATACTTCAAGCTGAAGGCTTTAAGGCCATAGGGAAAGAAACTAGAGCTCTCATGCCAGACTGAAGGGTCTACTTCCTAAGAGGCCAGGATGCGGACATGACCAGAGACAGGGTGTTCTGGTTTCCAGGCAGGGAAGGGGAGGGCGTGCTAATGCAGGGTCCCCTGGAATCTGGGCCAGAGCTCCCGTCTTATACGGTGGGAGGAGACCCGAGAACCGGACGTGAACATTTGTGTGGGGCTTGTAAGAAGTTCCTCATTGGACCAGACATAGGCCTGGTCGGATCAGGAAGAGCCTCACAGCATAAAGCCTGAAGCTCTGAGCATCAGTGCCAAGAAGCAACGGACCCAGGGTCAACAGGCTTGGGGAGGCCGGCCCACCACAGGTGGGTAACTGATTGAAAGGAAAACCTTGAAGTATTTTTTTTAATGGAAAGGAACAAATGACAAAACTCATTTTAACCTATTTTTAGACATAAGCTCCTGCAAGCTCTTTGCTTCTAAACCCCACAATCTTTAGAAAGAGAGTTTTGTCTGTAAGGGGAAAGTCTGCCTCTTGTGATCTGGAGAGCTAAGCAGGGCTGGAATGTTCTCTGAACGTCGAGTCTGTTTCCAGACAGAGGGGTCCCAGGTCTTGCCACACAGTGGCTTCTCGTCTCTGACCTAACAGACTGTAGATGCATCCGTTAAATAATCAGGAGTGGGAACCAGAAGCAAGGCAGGGGGATGCATGCATGCGTACCCTGTTTTCTTCGCTTTGCCCAGGACACGCTGCAAAAATGAGAGTTATTGTCATTCGCCTCCCTCATGACATTCATACTCTGGCTCTGTGACGCCCTCACCACCTCCAACCTATTTGTTTCTTCTTTCTGCATTGTTGACAGAGCTGCTACACAGGGTTTCTGGGGGATACAAACTCTTCCTGCCAAATAACTTTCATGATTTCTCTTCCCTTCTCAGCCCTGTTGACCAAACGTAACACGTCTTTACATAAAATAAAATTCCACAACAGTCGAATGCTTTACATGCATCTCTCCCCCATCCCTGAGACTTCAAAATGTAAAAGGTTATATACATACCAAAGCATGGCATCAGATTAATCACAAAATACAACACTTATAAGGATGTATCATAATAAAGTTCTCAGCGTCAATACTCTAGTATGCTAAGGCCACTAGAAAATGAAATGGAATTATTTGAATATAAGCGCCATGCTAGAATGACAGTTGATTTGCTAGTCTGCGTATCAGCTAAACGGGCAATAGGTGGGTAGTGCATACACATGGAAACAGTGAACAAAGGGAAGACTCACATTTCCCTGTGAAATGAGCAGCCAATGCCAGGCTCCCTTCCAATTATGACCAGTTCCTTTATCCATCTCATAAGGTTATGGCCGTTGGAACAGCTATGTCTCCTTTTGCTAGGCACTATTAGTTAGAGATAAAATGTTTGGGGTCATTCAAATAGAATTTAAGAATAATGGAATTGTGAACAACACCTTTCATAGTTGTTATTATGTTATCACTTTTCATTACGGGCTTAAGCGAAAGCAAAATATTAAGACATAAGAACGTGCCCTTCCCTGTTAGATTACACACAAACACACAAAATGAAAAAACAAAAGCCAGTCAAAACCACAAAACACTAAGTCACGGTTCTTTTAACAATTGAAAACTAATTGCTTGGTTCAGTTGAAAATCAAGTATGAAACTGTACATGTTATTGAGCTCATGGCTGGAGAACATGGGTTTTAGGGCTTGAATTGTAACTCCATTCCTTTACTCGTGAAGTATCTTAGACATGTTTTTCTCCCTCCGACCCTCCACCTAAGACAGGATCTCATGAACTCCAGGCTGGCTTGGAAGTCACTGTGCAGCCTTGAACTCTCCCTCCTGGGTACTAAGGTTGCAGGCATGTGCCGCCATGCCTGGCTTTAACCGATTCTCTGTTCTTGGCTCCGCCATGTACAAAAAAGAAGCAATGATGCTCTGTTGTGATAGTTAATCTGATGACGAATGGACATGTAAAGAAAGCAGCTGGGATAACCCTTCCGAACAGCCGGGGTACACCACTGACTGCTGATATATCATTAGCTAGTGGCTACTAATGCCTCAGTTACTGTGGCTGCCGGAGGCCAAGTCTAAAGTCTAACAAGTGTACAGCTGGCTTAGCCAGCCTAAAAACAGAGACTGCTGGTTATACGTGCTGCGGACACTATGCAGCTGGATAGGACCTTGAACTCCTGACCCTCCTGACTCCGCTTCCTGAGTGGTGGGTTCACGAATGTATACCACACCTGGCTTCTGTTTCACACCCACAAGTGTCCTAGGAGGTCCCTGTTACTAAGGTTTGATGATCAATGTCGCAGAACATGAGGGCTTAACAGCGTACTTTCCCGGAGTGCATTGCCTGCATCCTCGCCGCTGTAGGGCAAGGGGTCTCCCTGGAGGAAGCCTGGCAGCAAAAGGCCTAGATTTGTGGAGCTTCCAGCTCCTGCTCCTCCCCTGGATGGCTGAGTCATGGGTGTAACATTGGGGGTTCGATTCAGCCAGGGAGGCTCGCTTACCTAGTACTCAAAGAGTAATACTGACTAATTTACAAAT